GAAGAGCATGTTTTCAAACTCACTCTGAAGTAATGTGTACATTAATTTTTTTTAACCCAAAAGTGTGCCTTTCTCTATTCTAAATTGTTGAAAGCACTCACTGTTTGAACCAAAGTTAGAATATAAAAGAAGTACTATAATGTGAATTTAAAAACTGCCAGTAAGTATAGCTAGGGGACCAATACAAACATATCATCCTATGTCAGATACCAAGTTGAAAACTGGGAAAATGTATCCCACCATCCAAATAGTAACCAAACTCATGGCAAGAACCTGCTTATTCCTGATTTATTTTCACTGAACTGTGTTGAATGCCCATATGTGGGTGTGTGTTCAAGTTAAACACAATCAGAGAAATATATAGGCGTAGATTTTTTTATAGACAAATTAGTTTATGTACCTAGAAGCATAAATCTGCATCAATAATTGAGAATATCATGACCTTCAATGCAAAAACAATCATAATTTTTACTTTTCAACTCTATCCATCATAATAGTGTTTGGGTTTCCTTATATTTTCAGGTATTACTCAGAGTAGACTTGAATGTGGGTGAAAGGTGAGGATTCATAGATGAGCATGAACAATTAAGAAGCACTGCTTAATTAGCATGCACTTTGTACATAAAGTGCTGTTGCTAACGGGTTTAATAATAAAAATTACGCACTCTTTGAAAACACGTTTTAGTAACAGAACATTATTGCTTATCCAGATGGCCTATCATTTGTATTAATGACAAACTTAATTTCTTGAGTAAATTTTTACCAACTGTTCTCCCTTTATTAGTCAGTGAAATATATCTGAAGCAAAAATATAATGGAGCATGACATATACATCACGGAATTAAAGTAGGAGATTAATTAAAGTTGATTCCAGTTAGGCAGAGCCCCAGGCGTTAGACAGTAATTTGCAATCTTACTGCACACTGGAATTAACTGGTGGCTTTTTGAAAAAGCTTGATGTCCGGGCCTGACCCCAAACCAATTAAATCAAAGTAGGGTCCAGGCCTTGATATATGTTAAAAGCTTTCCAGGTGATTCTGAAATGCAGACATGGTTGGACGCACTGCGATAGATGATGGAACAGAGCATACACAGTCCATCAACTGATTTGCCCATTAATTGCTGTACATATACACTATGTATGTCATATATCTATATATATGATAGAAGAGGAGGATTGTTTGAAGATATTCAGTATTTTTCAAATATGTTCAGCAAAACACTAATTGTGTAAGATGTCAATAATTGATGTCTAGAAACGAATAAAGCAGAAGTCTGTTGGAGAAACACTGAACTAAGCTAATGAGCTTCTCTGCAGGACTTTTCAGAGCCTTTACTGTGCTAAGTGTACTGTGAATGTCCAACTTTTTGGAATTCCTTGTGCTTTATGAGACTATTTTATGTTATTTTCTCAACAAATCAATTATTCCCAGTTTTGGCTCATTATCTATAAAATGGCAGGGGCAGGGTGTTGGTTAGGGACAGTATCTCTTGATCTGTTTGAGTTTTAAGATTTTATAGTTTATTTTGCCTTTTTTGAATTTCCTATTATTGTAGAGCCTTTCTTCTCTCCTCCCTCATTTGGGGAAGATCATTTATATTTATTTTAAATAGTATATTATGGAGAATTTTAAACACATTAAGCAGAGAAGAGAATAATACAATGAACCTCCATCAACCACTCCAACAATTATCAACAATTACCAAATCATGCCAATTTCGCTTTATCCATTTACCCATTACTCTGAAAACTAGTTTCATTCGAAGTAATTCTCAGACATTGTATCATTTAACTGGCAAATGTTTTGGTATAATTCTGTATGATATAAGAACATATATTAAGAACAATATTACCTTTATCACACACAATTTCTATCAACATAACGTCTTAATTTTTCAAATATCTAGAGATCACGTTACATTCACTAACTCATAATTTTTATACTTAGACAAATCAGGATCCATACAATGTCCAAACACTTAATTGACTTATGTATCCCGTACATCTCTTTTAATCTATAGGTCACCCTCCTCTATCCTTTGTTCCTATTAACTAGTAGTTAGCTCGCAATTTTTCATTATATTCAGGTTTTTTCCTTTCCTTCCTCCCTCGCTCTCCTCTCCTCTGCCCTGTCCTCCCTTTACCTCCCTCCCTCTCTCCCTCTTTTCTTTCTTTTTTGGCAAGAACACTTGAGACACATCATGTGTTTGTTGTCTCTCTTTTGGTAATGTTAGCAATGACTGACACTCATTGCCTAGATTCATTACTTATCAGGAGCTGCGAAATTGAGTTGCTCTGCTTCTATCATTCATTCTTCATTTATTTGTAGTGGGACTGCATCGAGTCATATTTATAAAGTAACTTCAAGAGCATCAGCAACTTTATAATATTAAGCCTCTCTGTCTAAAAATGTCTAAAATTGCTGTATGTCTTTCCATTTATTTAAGTGTAATTATGACTTTCTGGAATATTATACAAATTCCTGCACTTAGGCTATTTATTTACTTTTAACAATGTTTTCTTCTTTTCCATTCCGTCCTCCAAAAGCTGTTTTAAAATATATATAAAAGTCATTGTTTTACATACTGATTTTACAATTTGTGACTTTATCAAGTTCTCTCATTGAAGGAATGTTTTCATTTATTCTTTTCAGTTTTCTAAAAATATAATATCTGGAAGTAGAAATATTTTTATTTCTCCTTTCTACTTTTTGTCTTGAATTTGCTACACTAAATACTTCAACCCTGTAGGAGTTGACATTCTGATGAACAGCTAATAGATGGGTCAAAATGCTGAAAACTGAATAAAATAGATACTTATAAAGGCAATAATATTATTCTGGGTTTGAGTCTGAATATCATATTGGTTTGTTTAAAAATTCTTTGAAAATTTCCAATAGAATAAAAAATGAGAAAGTTCACGTTCTATTAGCAACTCGAGTCTAGAATGTATCATTCAAATCAATGGCCTTTAAAATGTTGCTATGCAAATTTAGAAATTTGCTAAGTTCACTGTAAAATTGATTTGGATTCATCACAAAAAAATAGTTTTATTCATCTAGATGGCTTCTTAATTACTATTGTGCACAGTCCCCAAGCAAACCTGCTAAGAAAAAGGCAAATAGATCTTTTTCAAAAAAGATTAGTCTGTCTAAGAATTGGTCTCACAATTTTATCCATAAATGTCAAAAAGTAGCTTTTGATTTCTCATAGAGATTTATTCTCAGGATTAGGAAAAAATGCCATTCCTTGTTACATAAAAACCTCAGACTGTGAATATATTGTAACATATATTATTAAAATATTTAGCAGAAAGAAAGAATAACAAGGAATAGACATAGCTGTAGCAAAATAAAAACTTTTCATAAGAAAATAACATAAATAACATATCAGTTGTCAGCACAGACTTGATAGAGGACTGTGTTGGGTGTGAAGCAAGTTTTGAGAGCATGGCCCCTAGTAGAAATCACCCGTGATTTCTGCATGTTCCTTACCAGATGATGGAGCATCCAGTGAGTCTCATTACAGACATGAGAGCGTGCGTGTAAAAATACAAGGAATCAATACGGCTGCCAGTTACCTTTCAGGTACCTCACTGAGGAACACATCACAGAGAGCCTGCAGACCTGCACATGTTGGCGTGCATGCTACTGGTCACGCTCTTAACTGCTCTCTCCCTTACATTCATCACTATTTTCTTGTAATAAGCAATCAATAAATAAGACCATGAAGCCCTCCTTTTTCTTTGATTCCATGGATACACAAGTATGAAAAGAAGAAAGTATCTAAAGTCTCTTTGATCTTATTTCATACTAGACTTTTTGGAATCTTTTCTAAAAAATATGATTCATGATGATTAGCCCTGGATTAAGTAAATCAGCATGATTTAGGATGGACTCACAGGATGCTGTATCACCTTTTTAGAAAAACAAAACAAAACAAAACACAGATTTTAAAAGTTTCTAAGGTGTTCCCATTTATAACAGTAAGAGAAGCTATCCAATATTTGAACAGGTAGACTGAACTAGAAAACACCAGAATCTCCAGAATAGTAACCTTGTTTAATCTCACAACTGTGTACATCTATTATAATCCTGATTTTACAGAATAGAGAATCAAAGCTCATTTCAGACTCTTCACTTGGCCAAGACACCCCTGCTAGTAAAAGTCTCAGAACTGGGTTTCCAACTCATTCTGTTTAATTCCTTATCCAGTGCCCTTTACCACACATCCTCCAGTTTAAAGTATAGCTGAACAAGTGATGTCATTGTTAACAGTTCTTCCTACACTGTGGAGTGGTCATTCTTCATGTGCAGTTTAGGTTTCTACCTTTTCACCTATGTAATTTTACAGGTTTATTTCTCCTTCTCTGCCTGGTAAGGCAAATTCTATTTCTACTTTCTTCTTGAACACTTAATTTTTGGATACACCTAATTTGATTATTCATCTAGTACTACTAAGATAGGTAAGACTTTTGGGCCTTTCAAGGTGCCCTAAATTGTAAGTAGATTAAAAATAATCAATGCCTCTTCAATCTATTTCTATGAGTTTCCCGTTGCCGTACGTATGCATGTCACGTAAAGATGAACCTACAAATAACAGCATTTAGCATAGGAGAGTATTTCCATTCTGATTTGTGGCCAAGGCTTCTGAAGCTCTTCGCCCTGATTTCACGTACAGATGCCCTCCGTCTGTCTCCCTGCCGCAGCTGAAACAGAATCAGCCCAACTCGGCTCTTCATCAAGCACTGCCTTTCAAAACAAGAGCCTCTGTCGCAGGAAAACGAGTTTGCCAGTTGTTTACAAGACCACATAAAAACGCTACACTGTCAACAAAGCAAGGGCATTAATTTTAAAACAGGATGGCAAAGTACTTCTTTTAATTCTGTATTTGAAAGTAATTATGCAAGTAGTCTCTATTGAATTAAAAACAGCTAACTAATTAGAGGGAAAAACATTAAAGCTTATAAAATTAAAAAAAAACAAAAACGCAACACTTACTTGTTCAAATTCATTCTTTTGAAATTCTTCAAAACCAAAGATGTCCAATATTCCAATATCCAATGTCTGCATGCTGAAATAAAACAAACAGTGACTGGGCATACTTCGAGCTCACACAACCCCGGCCCATTTACTACTTCAGGACAGAAATCTGGCCGCTTCACACAGCCCTGCAAACCGAAGTACCAGCATGCCAATGATCACCTGAGAGTTTGATGAAAAACTCGGAAAATTAGGAGGAAAGGCATTTTTTTTTTAATGCTTTGATTCAAACAGAACATTAACAAAAATACATTGATTTCTAAGTTTAAAATATAACAATCCACGGGTGGTTTCATATTTGCTTTTCTGAAACAGTCCTTGTGACTTTCTTCCTCGATGGGACCTACCTTCTCTAAAGGGATCTATGCCCACCTGTTAGATGCCTCTAACCAGCTGAGACTTTACCTCCTTAGGCCACACAAGCAAGAATCGAGCAATTTCTTCATCACATGTAAATACAATATGAGGTCAATTAAACCATGTGTATATTTTCTGATAGATCAAATTCAGCTGCTTCAAAAATGTTACTATGATCTTCCTATAGGAATTCTTATGAATAAAGAAGAAAGAACGTGCAACTTGATTGTAAAATTGAAAGAAATCAAGTACCTTGTGATGCTTTTTTTTTTTTTTTGCAGATGTGAACTACTTGGGTGGTTTAAATTACAGATGTCGGAACGCTCACAGTGAGTGAGGAGAGAAGGAAGAAAACCTGGTTGGTGACAGCAGGTTGGTGACACCTGTGAGTGTGGCGGCGGCAGGCAGAGGTGTGGCTTCTTGCAAGGAAAGCCCCCTGATGAGTCTGGAATGTGGGTGTCCAGGAGGGCACACCCCCATCGCTGGTCTAGAGCTTTAGGACAATTGCTGTCTTCATAGTCTGCCAGTGGGTGTGACAGCCCGTCGTCATGACGGCACGGATCATTTCAGCATCACTACTCCTGCTCACGCAGAGGTTTTGTTGTTTCCCCTTCGCTTTATTTGTTTGAACTACAGAACCACATGGGCAATGGACTCTTTTGCATCTGCATTTTGTTTTCACAATCAGTACATAATCATAGTCCCTTAAGGTCTACAAAGTGTCGCTTAAATGACCTTTATTTTTCTTGAGAAAAAGGTAGTGTGTGGCCCTGGACAAATTGGCTCAGTGGTTAGAGCATTGGCCTACAGACCGGGGAGTCCCGGGTTCGGTTCCCGATAAGGTCATGTACCTCGGTTGCAGTTTGTCCTTGGCCCAGTTGGGGTCATGTGGGTGGCAACCAATAGATATGTCTCTCTCACATAGATGTTTTTCTCTCTCTCTTGTCCTCGCTTTCTCCCTCCCACTCTATTTGAAAATAAATGCAGAAAAGTAAAGAAAAATCTTTGGGTGAGGATTTAAAAAAAAGAAAAAGGTAGAGTATTGATTCTATTATATCCTGCCTCTAAGATTATTTATTGTAGATGGTACAGATATGAGCTTCAGAAACAGGAAGGAGACTATTTTATTTTATTTTTTTAAGAAGTGTATTTTTTTTTCTCCTTTTATTGACTTTAGAGAGAGAGGAAGGGAGAAGGAGAGATAGAAACATGGATGAGAGAGAACATTGATTGGCAGCCTCCTGCATGCCCCCTACTGGAGATTTGGCCCACACTCTGGGCATGTGCCCTGACCAGGAATTGAACCGATGACCTCTTGGTGCGAGGGTGGATGCTCAACCACTGAGCCACAACAGCCGGGCGGGAGACCATTTTAAAAGCCCTTACTTTACTATGAACTCACATGACAAAGACTATAAAGCAATGAGGGGAAGGAAGAATCATTTATTGGATGTCTCTAGGTAATGGGTTTAGTTTTTAGGAGAAAAAATAAAGTTAGCTTTGTACCTCACCTCACCCTGTTGGCCCAAATAAACTGTACATGAATTAGAGAGATACATGTTATAATAAGAAACTATAAATATGCAAAAAAAAGTGATGTTTTTGTTGTTTGTTTTTTTTATCTTCACTTGAGGACATTTTTTCATTTTTTGTTCAGATAAAATGAGAGGGTAAGAGAGGAAAAGAAAGAGAAAGAGAGAAACATCGACATGAAAGGGACACATCGAGTGGCTGCCACCCGCATGACCCAACCAGGGCCAGGGACAAACTGCAACCGAGGTACATGCCCTTAGTGGGAACCGAACCCGGGTCTCTCAGGACCGCAGAACAATGGCCTAACCGCTGAGCCAAACCGGCCAGGGCTGTTTTTTGTTTTTACTTTGCTTTCAGTTCTGGGGGGGAAAAGTTTAAAAGAATGATTACACAAATACTAAATATTTTTGCAGGATTAATAGTATTAATAACATTAAATTCTGCTAGAGGTAAGTATTATTTTAAAATGAATTGCCTCATTCATTTCACAGATTTTTTCTCAATCTACAGACCTGTGTGTCCAGCCATACATGATCTCCCATCCACCTCTGCTTCTTTCCATCCTGCTCTCTTTAAAATCTGCACAGAGACATGTCGGGAGTGATGTTCACTCAGCAGTAACAATAATGCTGAGGGTTAGGATGATTTGTTGCTTTGTTTGGTGTGTGGGTGGGGGTGTTTTTCATGTTACGAGCTGCACTGTTTCTCTTGTAGAAGCTTAGTGATGAAGCTTGGCAGGCTTTGGAGGTGTTTTGTTTGGTCTAGAATTCCTAGTTCAGACACTTTTTAGTTACATAACTTTGAATGACTTACTTAAATTTTCTGAGTAAGAGTTTCATCATCTATAAAACTAAGATAACAAGTAATATGTGTCTACCTAGATTGTTGTTACAATTAGAAGTATTGCAAATAAAGTTCTAAGATAATAGCTAGTACACAGTGTATCTCTAATCACTGGACATTGCTTTAAAAAAGCACAGTTGCCCTGGCCAGTTTGGTTCAGCGGTTAGAGCGTCGGCCTGCGGTCCAGAGAGACCCGGGTTCGGTTCCCGCTAAGGGCACGTACCTCGGTTGCAGTTTGTCCCCGGCCCTGGTTGGTCGTGCGGGTGGCAGCCACTCTATGTGTCCCTTCACATCGATGTTTCTCTCTCTCTCTGTTCCTCTCTCTCCCTCCCACTCTACCTGAATAAAAAAATGGAAAAAAAAATGTCCTCGGGTGAGGATTAAAAAAGCACAGTTGTTTAAACTTGCTATAGAAATGAAGATGATGGCTAATAGAAGAATATAAATGCTAACAGGCATATTAAAATTTCAGTCTCATTAAAATTGAAAAAGATATAATATTTTAAAATTTAGGATGAGAAAGCCCCCTACACTTTTGTTGGGAGTTTAAATTGGTAGAGTCTTCTTAAAAAACAATTTAGTTATGTAACATAACACTTTGAAATGTCCATTTCATTTGAACCAGTACTTTCATATATAGGAACCTGTACTAACACTATTACCAGAAATGCAATTAAAGACTATGAATAAGATTGTTCATTGTTATCTTAATTACAGTAGCAAAAACATAAAGAAATAATAAATATGCCACACTAAAGACGCATTAGTTAAATGGCATGCTTCCTATGATAAATTAATTTAGTAAACTCTCAAGTTAATAGCAAGTAACATATATGTTCTGTATAAAGAATAACCCCAATTATATTTCCAGAAGATCTAGAAAGAGGTGCAGTCAGCCTGAGAAAATAGAGTTTTGTTTACTTCTTTTTATTGTCCTGAATTTTCTAAGGTTTTTATAGTGAAACAACATTATTTTTATATGTTTTTATTGTTTTTTAGAAAGAGAAGAAGGGGGAAGGAGAGAGAAACAGAGAGAGAGAAAGATACCGATATGAGAGAAACATCAATCAGTTGCCTCTTGTACACACCCCACTCTGGGATCAAACCTGCAGCCTGGGCAAGTGTCCTGACTGGGAATCAAACCAGTGACCTTTTGGTGCATTGGACAAAGCTCAACCAAATGAGCCACTCCGGCCAGGGCAACAATATTATTTTTATAAGCAGTAAATATTCAATTGATGTGTATAAAGACACTGTGAACATATGGTAAATGTTCTTGAACAACAATGAGTTCAAAACTAAAGCTGGAACAAAATGTATACCTTTTGTATCTTTACAGTAACTTATAGTATAATTTCAATCCTGTGAAAAAATAAATCAATGGTGCAGGAAAAGTTAACAGGAGATGTCTTAAACAGTAAACTTAGAAGTGACTTCTTGTTTTAAAATGTTTTATACTGGGCATTATAATACTCTTTATCATTAACTTTTACTTTAAAAATATGATTTAATACATGCTGGATATTTTCTGAATTGGTGGAGGAAGGAACAATACCCTAAGGACAGAGAGAAAAAAGTATTGGCCAGCAGATGTCTGTTTGTCCAGAGATGAGAGGTGCAACAGGGACCCTAAGAGTCAGCAGACAAAGCAGCGGTGCTGTCTGCAGACCACGTGCTGGTCACAAGTATGGATGCTTCCCGCCAACTTCTGTCCAGATCTCATCTGTGGCTTCCCTGTTGATTTCCAGCTGTCTTTGGCAGAATGGCCCTATAATTACAGCACATAATGTTGATAGGAATTAGGGAAAAGGGCAAGAGCTACCAGTGACATGATGTCACCACACAGGTCCTTCCCCTCCTCCTAAGGGTGGGGACTTTGTGTTGACAAGCAGAGGAAGGATGCTGAGGCTTCACAGGTGTGTGAGTGAGAAAAATATGTCCAAGGATTCTGGTTCAGATAAGGGAAAGTAAATGATTAGTAACTGAGACTAGCATACATTTGATTTAAAGAGCACTCCTTTTCAATGATTTTTTTTCAGGTTTCATAGATACTGCATCCCAAATTACATTTAGTTACAAAATTAAAATGAGAGTATTAAAAAAAATGATGGTAAGGAAGAAAAGATCATTTTCAGGAGAAAAATTAAATGCAGGTTTAATGCATTTTAAGGATTACTTTTGCAACCACTGACAGACATAATGTGTTCATTTATTTTCAAAAATCTATTTCATCATTTATGATTGAATGAAATATGTGTCTGTTTTTGCAATAGCAACCTTGGCAGGAGGGTCACGACA